GAGAGAGAGAGAGAGAGAGAGAGAGAGAGAGAGAGAGAAGGGTAAGGCGGGTTCCATTGATCTGTGTATGGGGTCAGCGTGTGTCCCGACAAACGTGAGAGCAGGCCATTGCCCGTGCTTAACCTTTGCATCGGTTCCTCGCAGCACGCCACCGTCCTTCCCGATCGCAGACGACGATAGCGTTACTGCGCTGCGTACGTACGAAACACTCTGCGACAAACCAAGCAGATTCACCTGCATAACCCCGCTAGGGTCTGCCACATAGGAGGGAGTGGGTTCGTGTTGATTGACCGGTTTTCTTCCCCTTTCCTAATCCTGCCCTACACTAATCTGACAGTTTTACCCCGGTCTGCGGCTCACGCCATGTGGTGGCCTCAGTTTAACTGTCGCTGGGTAGCCAGGGAGATTCGTGTTTTGGCGGAGATTAGTCCTATGATACGAAGGTGTGACTTGATTCCCAAAACTCTCCCACAACGTGGGTGCGCGCCCGACTAACTTTCGGACCTGGGTTCCCCCGGCCCAGCCTGCACTACTAGTAAGCAACGCTGCACCGGGACGCCCACGCGGACTCGATAAGCCTAACACCGATGCGTGAACAGCTCGTGCCTCTGGGGGCCTTTCACTACCAAGTGAGCCTGAACCTAGTGCGAAAGGAGCGGTGAATTCCACTTCCCCCGACCCCTTTTCCTTTTTCCTTCTGATTTTGCCCATGGTCGGCCGGGTAGCACGTCGCGTGCAGCTTCCTGTGCCGAGCACAAGATGTCGGAAACAAAACCGCATAGAACCGGTCATTTTGAGATAATCTCTTTTTCCTTCCCCGCCCTCTCTCTTTTGCCATTAACGTCGGCCCAAATTCGAGGAATGCCTCGGTACAAAACAAGAATCCCCCGCTCCGCCCGGGCGATTCAACCCCACCGGCCAAAAATCCTCGGCCACACCCCCATTTTACTCTGATCGCCGTTCGCCGGTACGGGACGGCTCGCGGGGTGTGAGGTTTTGTGCATCACACACTCACACTCACACCGTGTTGGCCAATATGCTTCCAAAAAAAGAAAGGCAATTGGGAAACGTTCAAAATGCCCCTAAAATTTCTATTTGTTTCCTGTTTGCCCCTCTGACGGCCGCCTTACCCCTGATTTGCCCTTCTGACAATGATTCAAGTTTCCAAAAAAACCCTGGCGTCATTTGGGCCTGAAATATGTTCAATATGCCCGCAGTACCAGCGCGAAATTTCGAGGATGCCTCCGCCGGATAGCAGTTACCTTCACAATAATTTTCCATATGTCCCGACATGTACCGTGCATCTTTTCAGTATACCCCTGTGGCTGTTCTGGCAGTTGCCGCCGTGTACACGTCTATACGTGCACATGAGGGCACACATGTATGCGTGTATGAGGAACTGTGACTGCCGGAGCTGTAGGTGTGTGAGCACGAAGGTGTAAACGTGTATACATGTATGAGGAACTGCGTCGGCCAGGGCTATAGGGCTAGACCTGAATGCGAGGGATATTGGAAATTGCGGTACATAACATCACCGACAATGGAGGATGAGGAGGAGAAGGAGGGGAAGAAGGAGGTGGAGGAGGCGGGGGAGGGGGAGGACGGGGGGAGTTTTGAATGTCAAGTGGTGGGGAAAGTAGTGAAGGAGGAGGCAGATGATATGGGAGGAGAGAGAGAAACCCAGGTGTGGAGGGAGGAGGGGGAGGAGGAGGAACGAGCACCAGAAGCATGGCTATGGAGTACGAAGCGGCCAACGTGTCTGCTGGAACAGGCTGTGGCCTGATGAACGCCATAGCTAAGGGGATGCAGTTGGATGAAGGCTGTGGATTGCAGCAGCGAGTGCAGCTCTGTTATTTTTGCCATGGAAAACTACCGAGTTTGAATTTAAATTCTTCGTGCCCCCTTGCTGAAGGGCATCTCAGAGAGATGCATACCGCGCAGGGGGGCAAATCAGACAGGCACCAGGGGAAATGGGACCGGCAGTCCCGTAGGAGCGCTCCGGAAAGCTGCGCCCCTCACAGACAGGGGCCTGCACGACAGTTCAGAGATCCCCAGGGGCAAATCAGGGTAAGTCTGCCGTCAGAGGGGCAAATCGAAATAAACGGAAATTTCAGGGGCATTTCGAATTTTCCCAGAAAAGAAAAGGAAAACAAGAATCGTACACCCATGAACTGTTGAAAAACCGACGGGCGTTCGAATCCAACTCTTGGGCCGTTTCCAATAATGAAAAAAAAGAAAGTAACGAAAGAAAAAGGAGAAAACAAAGGAAGCCAGTCATACACCGCCAGCATATGAAGCAAGAATAGGCCACGGCCGGAAACGAGCCGTTTCCATTCTTTTCTCGAAGGAGTTTTGGCTAGATATCAATGGCGCGCAAAACAGGCAAGAATCGGTCGCGCCAGAGAAAGAGCCTCTTCTCGGAGGAGTCGGCTAGACATCAATCGCGCGCAAAGCATGCAAGAATTGTTCGAGGCCGGGAAACATAGCCGTTTTTCCATCCTCTTGTTCCATCCTCTTGTCGTAGGGGTTGGGAATTGTAGTGCTATACACAAGCACAGAACAGAGCAAGGACGTAGCCGTATAAGCAGTGCGCCTCTGGGCCTCACAACAGAAAGAAGAGGGGAGCAGAGCACAGGAGGAGGAGGAGTAGGCGGCAGAATAGGGAGAAAGTAGTCACAGGAAAAGGAACAAATCGAATTGTTTGCAAACGTTCGGATAACGTCGCAAATGACTGGTCGGGACTTGAACATTTAGTGTGAGGGATTAGAGCAGTGAGCAGGGCGACAGATTGTACTCATGGCGGAAGGCCACGATATGGATGCTGGAGGAGGAGGAGGAGGAGGAGGAGGAAGAGGAAGAGGAAGAGGAGGAGGTGGTGGTGGTAGTGCAGGGGAATGCCACGTGGCAGAGTCAGCTGCGTGTATAGAGCACGAGGCGCGACAAGGGGCCGCTAGCAATCCTGCGCCATTCGTAAATCATGATCTGACGGCAAGCCGTTCAGAATACATCATGAAGCCTCCATGGCCGTTTGATGCATGGGTTCTCTCACAGCTCCGCGATTCTCGCGATGCTCCCATGGGCTACCTAATGTTCAACATTTGCACCATTGCCCTCCCGGCCGCCATAGCCATGTTCGTCTTTCCTGTCACTCACTGGATGGGCGCGGTTTACTTGCTGCTCAACTCTGCGCTATTCATGCAACGGTTCATCTTATGTTTGCACTTCGTCGAGCACCTGCAGGTCAGTCAGTCAGACTCGCGTATGTCTTTCTTCCACGGGAAACGGAAAGCAAAAGAAAAAGCAACGGGGAAAAAATCTGAAAAAATGACGGTGGCGCAGGTGCGAGAGAGAGGCCCCATAAGCATGCACTATTTTTGGGAGAGAAGAGAGAAGATACGAGGACACTGACGGATAGCCATCGCTTGCATCAACCCAATCAAAGAGAGAGACGAGCTTCTCGATTGCATGCATCTGCGTATGC